GACTTTTTCTTTGTATTTTTAAAAATCAAATTTTATCTACCCTATTTTCTGAAGTTGGTTACTGTAAGAAGAAAGTTTTCAACTTACAAGAATTTGTACAGATTCAAATTGAGACCCCAAATTGCCTTAATGCTATCAACTGTCCTACCTCTTCGAGTTACCAACTGATGGGGGGGGCACCAAATTTAGAACTTAAATTTACTACTTGACATGTAGAAAGTATTTCCCCATTTCAATGTGATGTCACATGAGTGTGATAAGAACACTTACACACATTTCTATCAATCCATAAGGCCAACAGCAAACACATATAACCTATAATTAAATGCCAACTCAGGAACAAACAGCCATTTCAAGGAAGCTTTCCTAAAATAATTCATATTATACAAATATGACAAGTGATGGAGGGAGAGGGAGCAAAAGGGGATGAAAGTCGTAATTGGAAGAAGAAAAAACTAGAGATAGAGGTTTTGCAAATGGGAAAGGGACCAAGAGATGGAAGGAGTAGAGAGGTAGGGGAGGGGTAGGGGATAAAAGAATTAAGATGTCCTATGTACTTGTATTAACGCCTCACAATAAATGTAATCATTATATACTGCACACATGTACTAATAAAATAAAAATTAAAAAGAAAAAATAAAACTTAATTTTTAAAAAATTTGAGATGTTTGTGATGCCTCTGTAAAGAGAAAGCAGAGTTATAAACAAAGGCAGCTATGTAATGTTTTAGTTTTTATGCTTTACAATTCTTCCAGACACTTTGATCTCTGTTCCACCGACTTAATCAGGATTTTGCCCTTACTCCAATATAAACATGGTGGATTTCCAGTCAACTCTAACTAGGCTCCTAAAACTAAAATATAATAAATAATATAACCACTATTCTGAGATAAGCTATTCTGCCTCTGCTTTTCATTTCTGACTTGGAGAAAATTAGTGAGACATAGTTAAGTTCCTACAAGAGTAAATGTTCTCTGATGGGTAAACTATAAAGAACCAGTCATATTAGATAAAGTAGACCACCTTATGAGGGTATAGGTCAGAAACCTACAGTACGAGTTTCCAGAATTATTCTCCCTCTTTCTACACATAATGGCAGCATCGTATAAATGAAGAATCAAGAGACTTGGGTTCTAGTTCCTAGTCTACTACTAATCAGCTGTGTCTTACTTCCTCTTACTGAGCCTAGGTTTCACTTTCAGTTAAATGGGAGGGATGGCTAAATGATCTCAAGTGCCTTTGTACTCTACAAATGTAAGATTTTATCCTTCTTGCTGGTCTCGAAAATATTTTGGCCGACGCTAAAAAAAAAGTGTTGAAAATGTTACATTCATTTTTATAACATATTCTCAGTGCCAGCCTTCAGAATGTGTAGGTCTAATCCACAGAAGTTAGAAGGGACATTCAACTCACATATGATTTACCCAGCAAATGTGTATTGAGCCATGTACCAAATCCATCAAGTTTCTTCCAACTAAAAGGTTAAAAATACACACACACACACACACACACACACACACACACAAACACTCCAGTGGAAAAAAATATATCATGCAAAGATTTCCCCAGAACAGAAGCCTATCAATAAAGTACATTATTAAATCTCAATGCAATGACAGACATGTAGAGTTGGACAAGTTCTCAAAATATAGTCTCAAGTTAAAGATGAGGAAGTAAAATGACTCATAGTCCAAGGCTCTTTCCTACTTACTATACTAGGGTTCCTCCTCTTTTTCCAGATATATTGAGCATGATAGGAGAAAGAATAAAGACTGCAACTGACCTGACATATAGTCCTGGTTCTGCCATTCATTTGCTGTGGCACCAGGAATAAGTCACTTTCCCTCTCTGGGCATCAGTTTCAACATTTTATAGAAAGAGTAACTATATATGCCTTCTAGCTATAACAGACTATGATCTTATAAAATTTCTATCTAACAAAATAAAAATATACATTCCTAAAAGAGAAAGTGAGAATATCTAGCCAAAAGAACTTAAAAGTTGGGGCTGCTGTTTTTAAAGAGATGTATCAGTTCAATTTATAATCTATTGAGGAAGGATATCTCACCATCTCTCCATACAGTGTGGGGTAGCTACTAGAAAAAAATGTTGACTAAGAGTTTGAAGAGCTGGTTTCAAATCCCAGCTCTTCTCCTAGAACAATTCACTTCATTTCTCCGAGCCTAAGTTTCTTTATATGTAAAATTAGAGATAAGAATAGGGAAAGTGGACCTAATGTATCAATCAAAATACATTATAATGAGGTACATATTGCAAACCTGAACAAGAGGGGTGATCCGCCACTGTGGAAAAGTAGGCTGTATTGGGTTGAAAGCTCTTTCTATTAAAAAGTGAGCTGTTTTTTTAACTTATTGAATTTGTTTTCAGAGAGTAGATTAACAAAGCAGAAGATATCACTGCAGGGGCATTAGGACGTGGACTATGCACATGGATTTGGCTGATTAACAAAACATATGAAAGTAATGCTCAACTGTCTACTCAGTTTACTACAATTTGGTCAGATGGTATGTGTATTCCCTAACACACAACAGCAAGAAACATTTTTAAAAAGTGTTCAAATTCAACCTATAAATCTCTTAGTATGGTATGCCACTGTAGTTCATGCTGAGGGACAGAAGACATTTCTGATGACCAAGTATCTAGTGATACTATCTGTTTTTATAAATTCAGATTTCTTAACACATTTCTAGCTGCCAAGCTGTTTGCTCACAGTGCCTTATGCAAATAAAAAAGCCTATCACAAAGGATAGAAAAAAATGTAAATTATGTCACTCTTTTTCTGTCCTAATATGCTCATTCTTTTCAGATGCAGTTCTCCAGATGAGCCAATATTCTTCTAAATTCTCTCACTTATACAATGTAGAGATACGAAATCCAGACAGATCCTAAATGGTTTTATCTGTAGAGCTCTCTTGGGCAGGTTGGAGTTAAAATTAGAAAGCTGGATCCCAAGGGACTTCCTTTCCTTTTAAACTTTTCACCAAGTACCAAAATATCAAAGTGCATGAGAAGCTATATTATCCCAGGGGGAAGAAATGACTTGACTATCAATTCTATCAAAATGACTCATCCAGTTTAGATAAGTAAAATAGTCCAAATTCCGTATATGTCCTCTGTCCTCCCAAAGTAAGCATTGTGTAAAGTTAACAAATTTTCTAATGACAAGAAAGGAATGAATATTTGAATGCATTCCCTCAGCCAGGTACTGGACTAAACAGTTTATACAGGTCCTGAGATAACTGTCTTGAGATTCAACTTAGGTTACTCAGTGAAAAAAAACTGTATCTACATAGCTCTAAATTGATAACAATAATGTTATATTTTTCCTCAATTCCAACACACACGCACAAAGTACTCAAGAATTCAGTCTTATAACCTAAGTTATTTAAAAAGGAAAGCCACCTACAAAAAATTTAATTTCAAGGGAATCCAATACATTTGAAAATCCAAACATCTTCTAGCACCAAGTATCTAACCTTGAATTTGTCTCAGACATTAAACTTAGAGATTCAGTGCCATCTCAAGATTGGTCATTACCACCCAAAAAAAATCTCAAAACAGTGATATGAGGTGGGTGTAAATTATTAGCATTCATTTCTGCTTTTATTGTTGTCATTTCTGGGGTACATATTGTGTATAGTGTATAACTAGATTTTAGAACAAATTCTAGAATGTATTGATAACTTTATTTGCATCAAACAAAGTATTTCTTCAGTGGGGTAAGCAGGAGGATTGAAAGCTACTAAACTCCAGGAACCACCTTAGCGATTTGTATTACTATACAAATTTTACCATTTCTCAAATTCTTACAAGCAAGAAAATAATTTCACTGTCTCTAGTTCTACACACATCAGAAGAGTTCAGCGAAAACTCTATAAACATGATCCCTACTTTGAAAAGTGGAGTAGTATGTAGAACTTGTGGTCAAGTGAAGCATTTCAATTACTGTACTTTCTTTCCTCTCAGAAACACCTATATTAATCACCACTAAAACATCTTGCAGAATTTGATGAAGGGCACAAAGCTGGAGCTATCCTTCCAAGCACCAAAATTACTCAGCAACTGTTTGTGCCTCTGTTGTCGGTTGTGTACAGTACATTTATGTTCCGTTACCCTTTTAGACCACATCAAAGACCTTAATGGTAAGTAAGAACCTTGTCTTCGATTTCCTTTGCCCCACCATAAGGTGCTGTTTTAGTAAAACAATGTTGATCTAGAGTACATTAGCCAAAGGACTTCCGTAAGTAAATATCCAACCTTTCCCCCATTCGTTTCTGTGCAAGGAAACGTGGACAGCAAATAAGAGTTCTAACTACCTCTGAAATCAATAGGTAAGTTAGCAGTAAAAGGAAGGAGGAGGAGGGGTAGGAGGAGGAGAGGAAGAAGCAGAATAATAATAATAATAACAATAATAATAGTAATAGCCCAGGAAAGTGCAGTTTCTCCCTACCGCTCCTTTAATCTAGGGTCCACGAGGCCAAAACGGATGTTTAAAAGGTAAACTCGGAACCCCACGAATGCAAGTGTCGGGCTCTCAGGTATGTTACGCTGTCCCAGTGGAAGAAGCCAGGAAAGAGGGTCCAAGACAGCCCCTGGGGCCATTCATTAGGGAAAGGGGAGGGCGATTCTCAAGGTGGGTGCTTTTTTCCTCCTCCAAAGCACTGTTCCCAAAGAAGCCCCAGGACTGGGTTTAGAAGTGCTCCAGTGAGACTGGGTGGAACAGCGGTGGCCAACACAGCGGGATTTGGGAGGGGAGAAGGGGAAGGGGCGGAAAAGGCACGGGACTGGAATGCCTGGCTTTTGGGCCATAGTTCAGTTACTCACCCTATTGGGTAGCCGCCCCCTAGGTGCACATCTTCAGGGGCATCATAGAATTCTTCGGTGTCGCTTTCCGACGCCATTTATAGGACACACCCGCGGTGAGGGGGCCGGCGCCGCCTGGAGGAAGGGTGACTCTCCTGTCTCCTCTTCTTAGTCCTCCACCCCGGCGAGACTGTGGGGAGGTGGGTCCCAGGCGAGGCCGAAGAGGGAGAAGTGGGGAGCTGGTTAAAGGTAGGGGGCTGCCCTCACAACTGAGGGGCCGAGGGGAATGACTGGCAGAGCAGCCGCCCGAAGAAGCGGCAGTGGGTCCAGGGACTGTTGCTGCAGCCGCTCCCAGCGATAGGTGTATAAGGAGCGTGAGAGAAGAGGCCGCGGCTCTTCTCAGTGGGGGAGGGCGGGCGTGCCGGCTACAGCAGATCCAATTTCTCTTGCAGCAGCAATTACAGCATCAGGGAGAGCGAGTTGCCCG